GACAAATTTTTTATTCTACATATCTGATACATTGTGCTTTTCATATAATTAAAATTTATATAAAAACTTAAAAAAAACTTTAGATAAAAACTATTAGAAATTTCTTACTAAATTATTTAATTGTCGCAACAGTCTTAATGAAGAATGTTTTAAACAATGATTTAACAAACTTATAATAGACTATTCTAATACTAAGCAGTATATAGATTTTTTATAAATCTAAAGAATCTTGGGCACATTGTTACACTGCATTCAAATTTACAGACAGAATAATAGCTACTTCATGAATTGAGTCTATGAATGCGTGTTTAAAAAGGCTAATTCACAATTCAAATATCTCATTATGTGATTTAGTAACAGAAATTTACAAGATGCTTGATAGACATAATAAAGAGAATGAATATAAATTTTGGCGACTGTCAATACCATCTATTAAAAATCAAGAAAAAGTGAATTTTTTGTTTTCTAATGTTGATAAATCTCTTCAATGATTTCTTGAACCTACATTATTAAAAATGTATCATAATAAAATCAATCAATCGTTATACTGTATAGTGACATATATCAATCAAGAAGAAGTTGAATGTTTAAATGAAGTAAATGTATAATAGATTTTATATTTGAGTATTGCCAAAGGAAATTCCACAAATCTTATCTAATAAGATTTGTAAATTTTTCTTTGGTAGCACTCATTTAATATTATATATTTTAGATTATATTTTTCAAGTTATAAATAATAAACCTAAATTTATAATAATAGGAAGATGAAAATATATTATTAAATCAAACATCAACAGTTGAACTTCCACAAACAACTTTAAAACAAATGATCAAATTTGTTAGGTATCATAATATTATAGTTGTATAGGCAGTTAGTGTTGGAAATTCATCACAAGTTAAGCACTATATTCTGCTACTAAAAAATTGTAGATATATTTGTTTATGTCTTTCAATCGTACATTCTGGAATTATATATAGATACTATTTTTAAACAATTCTGACTACAAAAACAGCTCAATTTCATATTCAGCTTATACCACCATGATAGTATTTTACTGAACAAGATAGATCAGAAGAACCTTTTTTAGTTGCTGATAAGTTTGCACAAGAGATTGAAACGACAATAACAAATAATAATAATCTAGTACTATATCTAAGTATTTTTGATCAAAGCGAAGTAGATTTTTATGAAAAAAACTTAACAATCCTTGAACAAAAAATTGTATATAGAAAGTTGCATGGAATGTACAAAAAAGCACTTAATAAAGTATTATATAATTATTCTAAATCACAACAGCTTATTTAAGTATTAGAGGAATTTGTTAAAGAAGTAGATAGTAATAATTTATCTGATTCTGATGAAAGCTTGCAAGATGATAGTACTAGCGATAAAGAAAACAATGATCTTGCAATAGCAATTCAAATATAAAATCCAAAGAAACATCAAGGCAAAGGTCGACCACTAGGCACCAAAAGACTCAAATCTTCTCATGAAAATTTTAAACCTGTAGTGAAGAATAAGCAACAGTGTAAAAAATGTAGAAATGTTGATTACTATCAGAAAAATTGTAAAGTATAGGTAAAAGCGATGCATATGTAACTACAATCAAAACAGCTAATGTTAGTATTTGCTTTAGGCTTATTTGTATTTAATTGTTTTTATTAAGTATTATTAAGTAGCATGTTGAAATCAAATATTTCATAAATTATTAGCGCCAGTATAAAGTGCAGGAAATTTAAGTTTTATGATATATTCTCTTAAGTTTAGTATTGCTCTTGGCGCATTATCTATATGCAATTTAAGGATTCTAGATTTTTTACACTTTCTTGTAGTTAATAATTTAGGAAATATTTATCTTTAATACGTTAAGTTTTATGGAGGTTAAGGTTTTGTACAGTATTAAATATAGCATATTAGTATGATAAATTTAATACATAATAGGCAACATATATATATTATAGGTTAAATGGGTTTTTAGATCAAGTTAAACTTGATTCAGGTCAAATTGATCCTTAGTAAATTTTAGAGTTAGGGCAGGCTAGAATTATATTAATACTAGACAGGATTTTTTAGTTGACCAATTTAACCTGGGTCAAGTTTAACTTAACATAAAAACCAATTTAATTTGTAATATATATATTTCATCTTGAAGTTAGTATCTGCTTAAAGTTGTAACTTCAAGTGCTTGAAGTTAAACCTGCCTAACTCTACTAATGTATTTAAAAAAAACTAATTTCAGGTCAATGCAACTTTAATTGCTTGAAGTTGCAACTTTAAGCAGCTCCTGTGTATATATATTCATATATATACAAACATATAGTTAACTATAGCTTATAAGTTTGTAAATGCACTGTTTTGGCTATTAGGATTAAGACAATATGATTTGTATTAGAGTATGTTTTATATACATTGTATATATGCAAATATTGATGCTGGTGTATAATGTGACAAATAATCATTAACTATATAAATTAATTAGTTAGTACTTATTTATCATTCTAATAATTAGTCACATCCTAGTAGCAAATAGAAGATGTCACTTATAATTGATTTACAGGTTTCGCATACCAAGTTCGTACAAACTGATAATCAAATTTGTACATATAGTTAAATTAATACTCTGATTAAATAGTGATATTTCATAATCTAGTAACTATAATTATATGATTTTGTATTGTTAGATTCGTCTTGACAAGATAAATCTAATGGTATCAAAATTATGTAATTATAATTGCTAGATTATGAAATATCACTATTAAATCATAGTATTAATTTAGCTATATGTATGAATTTGATTGTCAGTTTGTACGAACTTGGTATGCGAAACCTGTAATATATAGTCATGTTATACAGAAGACTGATAGTATTCCGCTATTGCGATAATTAATAAAATCCTAAAAATAATTATAAATAGAAACTTAATATTTAAAAATTATTACAAATAAAGATCTAAAATAATTAAATTTATAATTGTAATATAGTATAATATAATAATACAGGGTCTTAGTAAAGCTATACTACTTGACTTAATATATAAGAGAGTTAAGAAATGTGTTTGTAAACAAAAAAAGAATAAAATAATAA